GTTTTAAAGAAAGATTACTACTGTCCTCATTGCAGCGGTCTCTAAATTGGCACCTTAGACTTCAGTGTTACGAGGTTGCCTTGGTCCCGGTATTCTGTTTTCTCAGATGAAACCCTCTGACCAAACTCTGGCCAAAGAGCCTTCAGATCCTCAGGAGCCGGGAGGCGATCCCATGCCAGTGGGCTATTGCTCCTGTTTAGGGGAAGCATTTGAGCCTCATCTGCTTACTATCTGCCTAGGCCTGCCTGCCTTTTGTTCAATAAAATAGTATTGAAAAGAGGGGGGACCTCTGGGATTGCAAGGCTTTTGGCTCACAGGTAACCCAGGCCGTGCCAGGTACAGAGGGGGCCATTGGGGTGTCTGCATGGGGCCGTCTGAAGGCTGGGTTCTGTAATAATAGCAAACCTAAGAGACCCTCTCCTGGCAGCTAACCTCGCTCTGAACCATTTACATGGGAGCAGAAGTCCACGATGTTGTGTTTTTTTTTCCTCTTGGACTTTTTTCTACCCCATATCAATAAAGTGCAAGTTCAGGCAAGCCTGGACATGTTAAAAAAAAACAAGGCCGTATTTCTCTTGTTTAAATTAATATAGATATGTTTCTCATATCACCAAGTATGCTGTGGATGTGTGTTTATCCACTGTGTATACTTATCCACATACTTACTCTCACATGACCCTTCGGAGGGAATGTTACACTCATCTGGCTTTGAGATTGGCTGTATTCCCTCACCACATAAGTCTTCTTGGCTCAATTCTGCTTTGCTTTTTCATTTTTTTCTGATTTCCTCATTTCTAACATTCGAGGAGATAGCACTGAGTGATTCTGATGGAGAACACTACCGTATTAAACCATTTTGTATCTGTGTTACTCTGTAAAAACAATGCGTTTCTGCTCCAGTAACAATTCTCCACTCGTAGGTTGGATAAATGAACCAATTCCACTATTTATCCCAAACCCTGTCAGATACATTTTTTGAAACTTTGTTAGTTTTAAGAACACATTAGTTTTTGTTTTATCTGGACCTTTTGTGCAGAGGGGGAGATAATTAATCATATTTCCCTAATGATGGCATGCTGTCTTCTGTCTGTGTCAAGTAAGATCTCTTGTGGTTGATTGATTGGAATTAACTTTTTCACTAATTACCTTTTATCCTCAGTTCCCAGTCCCATTCCCCTCCCTGCTGGGTTTTCATGTTTGTTGATGGCTTTTCGTTTGTCTGACCCCATGAAACGCGTGCATACACATAAACTGTCCGCATTGTGGGCTGACACGTGGCACGGCGATGAGCCCTTACTCTACTGCTCCGTTTCCTGAAGATGGCGCTGTGCTTGGTGATGTGGCCACACCGCTCTGTGCGCATCTGGTGCATCATTAGTTTGTGTGCCTCTGCCTCTGACGTGTATGGGTCCTTTCCAGGAGCACTTAGTCCATCTGGAAGTTGGACTGGTTTGTACATTTTATCAGATTATCCTAGGAGATTTTTATTCAACTCCTATGGTTGTAAAAAAAATGAATTGAAGGGCTAAGTGATCATTCATAACCAGAACTTCCAGCATTTCATCAAACACAGAAACTCCGCATAAGTATAAGCATAGACGGACCTGGCAGAAGATGGAGCCTTTGTTAGGACCGAAGGAAGAATTGGGACCTATTATTATTTTTAAAAATTAGTTTTATTGAGATATGATTTATATAACAAAGTTCATCCAAAATTTGATGCATTTTGACAAATGTATACAGTCATGTACCCATCACCACAATTATGCCATAGGAGATTTTTATCAGCCCCAAAACTTCCCAGCACCCCGTTCAGTTAGCCTCTTCCCAAAAACTAGCTCCTGGAAATCACTGACATGCTTCTGTCCATATAATTTTGCCTTTTCTGGATTTCTGATAAGTGAATCCTATGGATTATAATCTGTTGTGTCTGACTTGTTTATACTTAGCATAGTGCTTTGGGATGTTTGCCGACGTTATTATATGTACGTATAGTGCTTCCTTGTCATTGCTGGGCAGTCTCAGTGTATGGCTACACCACAGGTAATCTGTCCTCTAACTAGTTGATGGAAATGTGGCCATTTTCACTTTCTGGCTGTTACAGATAAAGCTGCTGTGAACATGTGAGTACGAGGATTTGTGTGGGTATCTGCTTTTTTCCTTTTGGTAAATAGCTAAAGTATCTGCTCTTCAGAAGACGTTATTAATGTTTGTATTTCTGTACAATAGATTATTAGAGAACAAGAAAAAGGAATGAACTCTGAACACATCCAAAAACTGGATGGACCTGAAAACCACTAGGCCAGGTGAAGGAAGCCAGACATGAGCGACCACATGTTGTATGAGTACATTGTATTTAGTATCCAGAAAAGTCAAACTCTAAAGACAAATCAGTGATTGAAAGACAGGGCAGTGGTGAGAGAAAACAGGGATTAACAGTAAACATGCATGAGGAGTCATTGGGGTGAAGAAAATATTCGAAAGCCGACTCATGGTGACGAGTGCACAACTTGGTAAATTTTCTTTAAAAAAAAAAACCACTGAATAGTAGCCCAGCCAGCATGGCTCAGTGATTGAGGTGTCAATCCACGAACCAGGAGGTGACGGTTTGATTCCTGGTCAGGGCACATGCCCAGGTTGCAGGCTCCGTTCCCAGTAGGGGGTGTGCAGGAGGCAGCTGATCGATGATTCTCTTTGACCATTGATATTTCTATCTCTCTCCCTCTCCCTTCCTCTCTGAAATCAATAAAAATATATTTAAAAAAACAAAAAGAAAAAAAAGACTGGCAATACCAACTGTTGGCAGGAATAGGGAGTAACTGGAATTCTGGCACATTATTGGATGGGATGCAAAATGATACAACCACTTCAGCAAATAGTGTGCCAGTTTCTCATAAAGTTAAATAACATACTTGATGCACCACCCAGCAACCGCATTCTTAGACCTTTACCCAAGAGTATGACATTTTCTCAAATTAGAACTTTAAAAAGGAACAGTAATTTCTGTAAGATAATATCACCAAATAAAACTTTTAATCTCAAAATATTTATTTTAATCTCTGGGAATCTTAATAAAGCTCTAAGTGGAATGGCTTATCCGAATTTCTGGATCTTTTGTATGGATATATCTGAATTTACTTAAAATGGACTTTAAGGAACTGTGCCGGTATTTTATTTTTCAAGATACTGCTTGCATAAAAGGTTTCAAAATTTGTTCTCCTTGAACTTAAGGCAGATAGCTGTCGGCCGTGGGTAGTCCAGTGACAACACGAACCAGTGACTGAGCTTTCATTTGGAATCCAAAGTTGCCACCTGAGTTCTCTGGTGTCATTGTGGCTTCATTATCAGACTTTGAACTGCCTTTCATTTTTTTGTAGATTTATCGCCACACCTCTAGCAAAGACTTTCGGTATTAAAGAGGAAGTTCGGAAGATTATACCAAACACTGTCTTAGAGACTTTTTACAAACGCTCTACGAGCAAACCATCTGAAGTAAGTTCACATTCTTTTTGGGGGATGATTTTAACATCTTCTTTCATAATGTTTCTGTCATCTGGAGCTTCCCTCATCTGTGCAAGAAATTGGTTCCAGTTAACTGGCGAATGATTTGGTCCATTTGAATTTTTTCTCTATTGATAGGTTTTATAGCATTCCAAGCATAGTATAAAATGGCAAATAAATATCTCTCTATATAAAAGGCTAATGTGCTAAGTGTCCATCCAACCAGTCGCTATGATGCGCACTGACTACCAGGGGCAGGCACTCAACGCAGGAGCTATCATGACGTGCACTGGCCAATTACAGAGAAACGGCACCGCGGACCTGGCACCCACAAAGCAGCAACACTTGGCTTCCCCCAAGTGGGACACAGGCCCCGCCATGACCCCAGAGCGACACCCCACCAGATCTCAGCCGACGCTGCTGAGACCCCATGGCGCAACATGCGGCCTGCAGCCCAGCCCAGCCCAGCCCAGGAACAGTTGCTGTGGGCGCTGGGTAATGACGTCACGTAGCAACACCCAGTCTCCTCTCTCTAGCGACGACTAGCATCCTTGCAGTTTCTTCAGCCCAGGAACACGACTTGCTTCATAGCCAGGTGCAAAAATTTCACACTTAAACCAAATGTCTGTGAAGCATTTCCCCGTGCCTCATCTCATTTGATCCTCACAGAAGTCTTGGAGCAGGTAGATAGGAGACTCGGTGGAATCCTATTTTCTTCTCATTAGCTGGAAAACACAGATTAGAAAGCTTAGAAACTTGACCCGACTGAAAAGAAGTAAGAAATGGTGGACCTTGAAAATGACTTCAGTTTTGTCACTGCGCAGAATATAGTCAAACACTGCGGCAGTTAAATATTTTACCCTTTGTTCTCCCTGCGTGATCTACAATAATAACCTGCTTCGTGTTGATGCTTACTGCTGTGTTGCTGACAATTACCTGAAAGAGAAGTTGGGGTGCTTCACTGGGCTTGGAAAAGTTTATCTAAATCAGAAAGCAGGTCTAATTCAGCAAGTTTTTCTATGTATATAAAGCTCTCACTGGCGCTAATCGCATGCGTGTGTTTCGCTCTGTCATTGTTGATCGTGAATTTAGTTGACACTTCTATTATAGAGAAAGGGCAAATAGCGATATTAAACTATTTCTTCTAATTAATTTCCTTTCCATGTGCATGAATTCTTGCACTGGGCCACTAGTTATAAAATAACAAATGTGAATAGTCGGACTATTGTGTACAACTCTAATGTTGAGCACTTATAATTAATGCCATAACTTGAGTATAAAGATCAACATTTCATTTTTAATGGTAGGATATGGACAATATTTACTGCTTAAAAAAAGATTACTATGAAGGTAAAGGAGCCCGTAGCTGACAATTTTGATGATTGTGGCACCATCAATATTCATTCCTTATGAACCTGTCCATTGTGGTGGCTTTTGTGTGAAGGATACTTTATTTTATCCAAGGCCTCAACACACACAGAAATCTGTTGTGCCCCTGCCTGCTCCCTAGAGGTAGAATTTTTAAGAGTCACAATTCTTTTCACGATGCAGGATGTCCTTCTCGAAATGTAGTGTACTACATGTTTATGTACCATAGAAGAAATTTTTAATCTAATAGTTTAAAAATGATAGTGTCCAGGCAAGTCTAGATTCTTATATATATGGAAACAGCGTCGATGAGAGAAATTCATTGATCGGCTGCCTCCTGCATGCCCCCTGATTGTTCTGAGCTGAAAGAGTTTTAGGGATTAGGTTGTCTTTTTCTTCATGATTCAGGTGAGGAAGCTAAGGCCTCATAGGAAGAAATGGGATGTCCAAGGTCATGCAGCTGAGTAACCTTGGCTGAATCTGTAGCGGGAACCTGGACCCTGCCCCCTCCCCCCCCGTCCAGCACTGTTCCTGTGATGCCCACGCAGCTTCTTTCCCTGTGAATAGAATATTGAAAATGTGTTTCAGAGGCTGGAACACCTGGAGTAATTGTTGTAACTCAGGTCACACACAGTGTGGACATTTGCATCAACCTCAAACCAAGAAGGAAAATAATTAAGATTTCTAACTTACATTGCTTGTGGATTACAAGATCGAGGCAATATTTGCAAAGCAGATCAAGATAACAAGTTGTCCAAAAAGTGCCCATCCATTAAAAGCACTGGAACGTGGGAAGACAGGAAATCACAGGGGAAGGCGAGGTACATGACTTCCTAGTGATCTCAGATGTGGAAACAAAATAATCTCGTTATACCTCCCATAGTAACTTGGCCGGGGTCATACCAAGAGCGTTTTGTCTGTATTTTGTCAAACACATAGCCATAAATCTGGCTGAGGTAAGACAAGTTGCTGGGAGAACTAAAAAAACCCCACCAAAACTGTGCTGCTCCGAGATCCGGGTATTACCTCTAAGGAAGTTTTCCCAAGCCGTCACGGCAGAAACCGCAGCGGTGACACATGTGGGCAGCACATGACTCCCTGACACAGCTGAGTGCGTGGGGCTGAGGGTGCTCCTGCAGCTGTTCTCTGCGGCCTCCATAGAAGCAGAAGTACTCAGTGTGCACAGCGCCGACTCCGGCTGGTTAGCACAGGAGGGTATACAACCTGGTATTGATGAGGCCCCAAACGCTGTGCACATCCGCTTCCCATGAGGTTCTGCGCTGTGATTTCGCACCATTCTTTTGGGGCTGTGTATGTGCAGCTGCGAGTTCATTATTTATGCATATGTTTACGTCTCTCTCTATATATCTCAATAATAACTTCAAGATGTATTGGGAGTGAGCCCTGGTAACAGCCCAACGGCCCTGGCCAACAGATCAATTATTCTGCTATTGATAAAATGGAGCAACAGCAGAATGTAGGGTCTAGCTAGCCCCTTCCCCCCCGCCCCCCTGCGAAGCCGCAGCGAGAACTGATGCAGGGAAAGCAAGTGTGTCACTTAGAGCAGCTCTGATGAGCACGTGGCCCCGAGAGACGGACAGAAAGCCACTCATTGAGGTTCGTGAAGGGATTGCAATTTGCTCGCCTGTCTTAGCCTTAGATTCAGACTTTTCAGAGCAAAGCACTCCCTTGTTCTGTTGGTGTCACAGGTGAGCACGTGAGAGCCAAAGAGGTCGGGCCATCCTCCGCTCTCCTGGAGGGTTGGCTTGTAGGGCGAGGAGCGGGGCTCCTGGCTCCCACTCAGCCTCTCCTCCGGCCACGCTGCTTCTCCCTGAGGCCCTGCTGGTGTCGGAGCCAAACACACAGGCTGTGAGGACAGACTGCGCTCTAGACCAGTGATGGCGAACCTATGACACGCGTGTCAGCGGTGACACGCAAACTCATTTTTTTTGGTTGATTTTTCTTTGTTAAATGGCATTTAAATATATAAAATAAATATCAAAAATATAAATCTTTGTTTTACTTGGTTGCAAATATCAAAAAATTTCTCTATGTGACACGGCACCAGAGTTAAGTTCGGGTTTTTCAAAATGCTGACACGCCGAGCTCAGAAGGTTCGCCATCGCTGGTGTAGACCATGGCTCTGCTGCAGGCGGGGCGTGCAGCTGGGCAGATGAGCCACTCTGTGCCTCAGTTTCCCCCTCTGTGAATTGAACATGGTGATAACACTGCTGATCTCACAGGGCTCTCCTGAGGATTGCATTGAGTTATTTTTTATGGTTTTTTTAAAAATTGATTTTAGAGAGAGAGGAAGGAAGAGGGAGAGAGAGTTAGAAACAGAAACATCAGTGATGACAGAGTCATTGATCAGCTGCCTCCTGCACGCCCTTTACTGGGATCGAGCCCACAACCCAGGCATGTGCCTTGACAGGGAATCGAACCGCCACCTTTTGGTTCCTGGGTCGATGCTTAACCACTGAGCCGCACCAGCTGGGCAGTATTTCTTGTTCTCACATTGGAAAATAAAAGATCAAGGAAGCTAATGCTTAAAAAAAAGAAAAAGACAGAGCTTATTTCCTTGTGGAAGTGGAGAGTAGAGTGGGTTCCTCACACAGCCGGTGTGGAGAGAATGCGACTCTGACAGACCCGGTCCGCTCAGTTACTTCTGTTTCTGGCCTGGCCTGTGAGAGCTTCAGGTCTGTGACCTCAGAGCTAATCCATTATCCATATCGGGGCCAATGTTCAGTCATAGCCTGCAGCTTCTGCCCAGAAGAGAAGCAGCCATCATTTTTATATGCTGCCAGCACTGCTTTGATGATTGGAATTCTTTCAGCTCAGTTTGAATTAGGCTCTGCATCTGATGCAGTGTGAGAGTGACAGCCAGCACCTGTGCGAACTGCTCCTGTGTTGTCTTCGGGAGCTATTCGACCATGTAAAGTAACAGAATATGCAGCAGCCCAAGGTCTAGTCCTCACTTGGCTACTGGCTTTCCGTCTCGCATTTACTTAAACTCTGTGTTCCAGTTTCCTCGCCGGAAACATGAAGAGATTGGGTTTGATCGGCACGTTAAGCTACTCTGCCTGGTCCCGAGGACGCCCGAATAACATTGAGCTGAATGAGCTCGCTCACTATGCAGCCTGAACATATAGATGGGTTGCTACTAACTTATGGAGAATTGATCTCTCTTTGTAACTTAAGAGTTCTGGGATACTAACATTCTCTATGGTTTTAGGGGGGCATGGTGTGTGTGTGTGTGTGTGTGTGTGTGTATGTGTGTGTGATCCATAAACAAAAGGTAAATTCTCTGGCTCAAGTT